GTGTGTTTGAGGGGAGGGGGCTGGGTTGCGATGTGGGGTGTGGGTAGCGTTGGTTGAAGGTACTTTCGTCGAATGAGATGGGTTTGGGTAGGTGGCATTTGCGCCTGCGAGCTTCCACGGCTGTCTCCGTCAGACATTGACAAAATCTGGGTAGGAGGACGACAACGACAGGTGAGGCGATAAGGCTGCGCTTCAGTGAACAGGCGGGGGCAAAACCGAGAGGGCCTGATCGATGTCACACGCGGTGTGCTTGTTGTCTTCCCTTTTAGTTCCCGTGCAGGCAAACAGATCATTACGCCAGTGTCTTCTCGCTGGATCATTTACTGCTTTTTTTGCGCCTTCAACTTCCAATCGTCATCATCCGGCAACACGCCTTCGTCTTCTCTCTCAACTGCAAGTGCTCTCCAGACCACTGTCATCGCCCAAATCTTGGCTGTCAGGAGACAGAGCCGCGAACACAGTGGTGGCCGCACACATCTATGGAGGCAGCCATCGCCGTTTTTGCCCGCTTGTGCACAGGGACCATTGCGTGCACATCGCCTGGTCGTCTTCTCTGCGACAACAGACGCACGTGGATCAACGATTTCGACGCCATCAGGCCCATCACTCACTCTTCTGCGGCGAATACCGCATCATCTCGTGTGTCTTCTACGGCGATTTCTGCATTGTTGCCTGCATCTTCAGCACCTTTCTTCGTCTACGACGACAAACTCTCGCAGCGGTGGTGAACAGATGAAAAGGGGGAGGGACGGTCTTCCGAAGGATGCGCCTGTCGACGCCGTCGTCGAGAAGAAGGGAAGGCATGCTCCGAAGAAGCATAAGGCTCTTGCGGTCAGTCCTTCATGTACCAGAAAAGGCGTGATGGACGAGTGGGTGAGCGATGGCGAGAGCACGAAAGAAGATGACGACCTCGAAGAGGAGGAAGAGGAGGGCGCCGCGCGAAAAAGGGTCATTGCCCACCCAGGCTGCTTTGAAGATCATAGATGTGGCTGTAGCGCAGGCTGCTCAACAACCCCGAGGTGGGGGGCCGCGTGCGAGGGAGGATGTGGTCATCGATGTCGACGCCGCTGTTGCGCCGAGGGAGGTGCGCGCCATGGCAGGCAACCAGGCGGTGTGCACGGCGGGGCCTGTGACGAGGACACGTGCGACGGCGCCCCCATGGGGTCAGCAGCCTGTTTGGGGGCCTTCAACACCAGCGACGCCACGTCAGCAGCCCGTTAAGGACGGTGGGGGGAATTTGAATGCGGCGGTACACAGGAGCTGGTAGGCAGCACAACACACCCCCGCGATGGAGGCGCAAGGTGGCGGTGCGGTGGCGGGGTCTTCCAGGGCGGGTGGAGGTGCTGGGGCTGGGGAAGGTCGTGGGGATGGCGACGATGACGATCCTTTGGTAAACAGGCAGCGGCGAGGGTATGTGAAAGAGGGCATCGATGCGGCAACGGGGTTGTGGGTGGACCACCTCCGATTCTAGAACGAGACAGAGGGACACGACCTCTTTCAGTTGATCCAAGAGGCGCAATTGTACCTTGTCGCCATCACTAGGGGGGTACAAGCGCCAAACATACGACGGAGCATTGTCCTCCCGCACAGCACCATGATCCCCCTGATTCCCCCAGCATAATGTGGAAGATGAATCCGAGCCAAAGGCGGCAAAAGAAAGGGCGACGAGAGTGCAGAGCATCACCTTGCGCGTTATCCATGGGTGGATCTTCAAGTTTGCCAGTTGGGAGCGTGGCTACCACGCGTTGTACGATTACATATTGAAGCACGTCGCCACGGACATCGCCCGCACCATGTGGTGTGGAGAGGACTGGCGGATGTGCATAAGCCCTGCTGTTATCCATAACACACTCGGCTTGGACATGAAACTCCCCTTGTGGTTCGTCGACGCCAACATAAAGGACAGGTACGAGGACGACGAGCTGGCGTCCTATCAAGAGGTGAGCGTGCAGTGACTGGTCAGAGCTTTCACACGCGCGGTCATTTTAGCTGAGTCTATGGACGGAGGGCGAATCTCGTATGACAGGCTAAAGAACGTCGCCGATTGCATGAGTCTTTTGCTCGCAGCTGCGATGTGGCTCATGCGAATGACCGGGGATGATCTTCGTGCCCACTTCGATGCCTCCCTGTTCGTCCAACTCATCTCCAAGCCCACATTCGTTGTGTTAATGCATCAATCGTTCAACGTGCGCCATCACTTACGGCGTCACATCATTCAAGCAGCCACCATCATCACTGAGCGAATGGGGAAGCCCGCCATGACTTTGGTGGACCCTCCTCGGTACATCCCCAACTGGGCATCATGCTGATTCATGCGGCGTCTCCTTCCAACATGATGCTACTTTACCGTCGCCTACGCACGTGAGACGCCTGGACTGGTTGGGGACTGGACCCCCGAAAGACAAAGAAGAAGACGCGGCGAAGGCGGATGAAGGTGCGGAACGAGATTGATTTGGAGGACACGTGGCGAGACGCAAACAACGGAAGGATGGCGGGAAATAATTATGGCGGGCTTGTAGGTAGTCGTCTCGGCACAAACGACCATCTGTGTGTGGGGAGTGGTTGGTCGGTGATGGGCCACTCCCTTAGGAATCACATATGTTCGGTTGGGGAGGCCTATAAAGGGGGAGGTGGGGTGGCAGTTAGGGGGTAGGTTGCGCAGGTGGCTCATGGATCATCATCTCCCCTCAGCGGGAGGCTAGAGCGCAGCGGGGGCAGGTAGCTTGTGGATCGTAATCGCGGTGGCGACATCATAGGGCGGACAGGTTGTGGATTGTCGTCTCGGTGAGCAGGGGGTGCAAGATTGTGTGGGGCGCGCTGATGGAGATAGGCTGTGGATCGTCGTCTCCGTGGCGATGGTTGTGCTTTTCGTGTCCTCCTTCTGTACTGCACCATGGTTGATTGTTGGGCGAGGCGATAGGGGTTGTGGCGGCTGGTTAGCAGGTTTGCAGATGGGAAAGATAATGGGTGGTGCCGATGACGAACACGTCTGGTCGACCTCTCCATGTGTGCAGTTCATGGGTGGAGTTTGTTGGTGACGTGCCAAGCCGATTCTCGTGCATGCCTTCCTGTTTTTGTTGTTGAATTTTAATTGTTTAAGCAATGGACGAGGTGATCGCTGATGTACCGGCAATTACCTTTGTATGTAACATCATCGGTGTGTTGTGACGCGGGTGTGCTGCGTCCCTGGTGTGTCGTTTTGTCATTCACATATTCATAGACGAGCTTTTTGTGTTACTTGCATGGAACAACGCTTTTTCATCGCCCATGACTTCGTTTTCGTTGTTTGTTTTTGGGTTGTTATGCATTTCATGCATCGACTGAAAGATTTGCATATGAATGGTGGAATGGGGGGTTCGTGATTGATGAACAACCAGTCATCAGAATAGTTGCATGCACGATGTCAGAAGAAAACGAAACATAGGCGCACCAATCACACACACACAGACTGTCCCCCGCACTGCTATGTGTCGACACCCTCACCCAATTTGCAGGGACTGCTGCTTTACCACTACTGACCTCTACATCGATAAGCAACACACGAAGAACTACTGACTCATCATCCGCAAATTCATAAGTAATATAGAGAGAACCACAGACTCCATCCGCGACTCTACGTGACAACACAGCGAAACCCCCACAAAACGCTCCGAACGCGAATCCTCTCCAATGCCCGCTCTCCCGCTCTCAAAACTTGCGTCCTCCACCTGTGCTGCGGGGGTGATGTGGACATCTTCCACTGGCCATCATCAACGGGTACTCATCCGCTCCGTTAGCGCATCCCTTAGAATCAACGCATCCCCCATCGAACTGTCCATGCACACGGACGGCCCAAGGGGGGGTTGGATCCCCAGATCCACCCGACGCCGAACTCCGTTCGCGTCCACCTCCCAAAGCAAATTGTCGTCAAAGGGGATGCCGACATCGACGAGAATGTTGTGCAAAATGCACACGGTGACAAACTGTTGTGGCAACGTCTCAATATTCGTCTTATGCGACCGCAGGAACAACCTCCATACGCCCTTCAGCTTCCCGAAAGCCCTCTCCACTGCCCCCCTGGCGGTCTTGTGTTTGTTGTCGAACCACAACTCGGATGAGTGCTGAGTGGTGCCGCCATAGGGAACGACTATCCATTCCGACGGCGAGTACCCATTGTGGCCAAGTAGATAGCCACTCATCTACACTTGGAAGAGGAGCATCACGGGCGGCCCCGTGAACAGCTCCCCAGCCTCCTCGCGCGCCCATAGACTAGACAGGTGAATGACCCTGATGTCGTGACAGCTTGCCGGATATCCAACGAAAACGTCCAGCACACGTAAGTCGCGATCGACGACGACCTGCGCCGCTGCGCGACGACTGAGAAACGTCGTTTCCTGTCGAAGTAGTCTTCACCAGGTGCGTTCGCCGGCTTGTCGATGTAGATATGCGTGCAGTCGATACAACCGTGGCAGTTGGGGAACCCCTTGTCAGCGAAAGCACGCAGAACGACCGCCTTCCGCACCCCTGTCGGCCACGACACTTTCTCCTGGTACACCGTCAGCAACGCCGCAGTGACGTCCCGCACCGCCACCAAACCAGAAGCTCTACCAATGCCAAAGCTGCACGTGCTGCTCTAGTACGTATCCCCGGACACCCATCTGTACAATGCGTACGCGACGATGTGGTCTGACTGCAACGGTTCCCTGTAGAAAGTCACACAGCGCTGCAGAAAAGGTGACAGACTTTCCTCAATCTCACGGAAGACACGTGGCGACATACGTAGCTTCTCATGGAAGTAGTCTTCCGTGGCGTCGTCGGCAGGGCAACCGTTGTCCTTTCCGCCGTCGACAGCTTTGAACGCTCGTCTTCGCCAGCATTCCCCATCGCCACACAGCGTGCAGAAGACATCGCCTTCAGCTCAAGCAACAGACTTCGGCGACACGCCAACACACGACCGAAACGCGACTCGTGACGACCACGGTGATGGTGCGACGAAGGATGCCGTGAGAGCTCGCAGGACGCTATCTGCTTCTCCGCGCGCACTGATGCGAGGATGACCACCGTGATGACGTCTTCTTCACTGTTCCCGTCTTAACGCTGATGGACGAATGGTTGTCCACGCGCTGACCCTGCCACTGCGCTGTCCAAGGATGTGCTTCCCGGATGACGTCATCCACCACCCACCGCAGCCCCCACCTGATACTCCTATGCCACGCCAGCATCTTTCGAAATTCAAATTTCGAAACGGGAGGCCTGCGCGCGCGTTTTCCTTTTTTTTCCACCCCCGCCGCCGAAATTTGAATTATCCTGCCACCTGGAGGCGGACCACGCCCGACCACCCGGACATCAGATCATGGACCACCACCCACAGCCCCGCCCCGCAGCCGCGTATTTTATTATGAACATCCCCGCGGCCCGTCCTCGGAGTGTCCTCGGGAGATCGTCCCGAGGACGAGTGCATCGAAGGCAGGAAAATCCTCGGGCGACCTAAAGGAAAACTCCTCGGGCCCCGAGGACACCCCGAGGAGTGTCTAACGAGCCCCTGAGTCCTGACAGTCCTGGTGTGGCAATGCTCTGTGGTGACTGTCAGGAAGGTAGATTGTTAATCCCCTCTCAGTAAAGGGCAATCAATGCAGTCTCCATAGAATGCAGAATGTGATAAAGTCAGCAAAGATGTGAAAGGGATGCTGGGCCCGATTCCTAGCATATGCTGTTGTCCACGAATAAGACTGGTGCCATCACACAGGCAGGTCCTTCATTAGGCTTGGGCTCGTATCCCTTGCCTGATAAAGGACCACCCCTCCTGATGTTGGAAAAAACAAAAAACAAAAAAAGAAGGAACTCTTGCGCTGTGTGAAAGAGGAGGGCGGAAAAGCGAAAAGGCTATGAAAGGCAAAATATCACCAGTACGTTCCCCAGCCAAAGAATAAAATATGCGGCTTGCACGCTGCTGCAACTTTCCGGCCTCGGCCTCTGGAGCAAAATGGCTGGTGGCCCACACCAGTTCGTTTTTCCCCAGGCCCCAGAGGAAAGTGCCTTGGAAGTACTGGTGGTGGTCTTCGCCCCCCCCCCCCCACTTTTCATTGAGGCCGTTCCATACCTACGAGGAGGGATGATGTAAGTAGCCCCCCCTAGTAGGGCTACAACTGGCCAATCCATCTACTGGTGGGGAGCAACACCTGCTGGAAACCGGATCCAGCGTCCCATGAAAACATGAATGGATTCATATATGAAGTAGTCTGAGAATCTGGAGAGATTGTGTAGTACTGGTGGTGGTCTAAGTAAATGGAACAAAGACATTGGAAAAAAAAAAAAAAAAAGAGAAAAGCAAAAAAACAAAAGAAGGTACTGAGTGACTGGGCATGTCCTGACATGATTGATGTCGTCACCAAATTGGGTTTACAACTTGTCAGTCACCATGTCCCTGCCAATGTCAGATAATGTCAGACTATGCCAGAGGATGGAGAGACAAAGTTGACATGACCATGAATATCCGTTTTTCTTTTACGAGGGAGCCCAAGGCCGAGTCAGCCAAACTCCTTGTTATGATGTAAAGGGACGCTGGACCCGTTTCCAGCAGGTGCAGCTCCCCACCAATGGAACGGAGCCATCTAACGAGCGGGGATAGTAGAGGGGTTGTCTGCTCTTATCAGCACCTCCCCTACTCCCCGTCATTGGTGTTTACCAAAGAAAAAAAAAAGAAAAAAAAAGAACACACCTTGAGTCAGGTCTCACTTGTATTCTTCATTCTAGGCCTTTCAATTTTTTGTCCCCCTTAAAAAAACTCTGTTCGAGGTTCGAGGCAAGTCACTGTTGCCTTTTTTTTGTTTATCGAAACCACCACTACGTCCGAGTCTCGTTTCCCCGTAGCGGATTTCTGATGCACTTCCAGTCCAAAACGAACCAGTGCGGCGCTCTTTTTTGTTTCTTTTTGGCCAGAGCCGCCAGCCAAAAAAGTCCGGGAGGTCAAGCCCCTGAAGAATGCAGATGTAAAGTTGTAAACCAATTTGTGGCAAGAGTTTGCCATGGAGAGGTAATTCTGGTTTAAAGGATTAAGGGCCCCGCCGCACCACAGTCGAAGGCACAAAAATTCGATGGCTGTCAGAAAAAAATTGACAGCCTCCATTCGACAGTTTGCCCCCCCTTCGCCACACAGCACTGTAGAGTGCACGCACTCGTGAATGCAAGATGGAAAAAGACGAGCGCGCCAGAGGGTACAACAAGCATTAGTCCATCCCGACCTTACCCCCCCTCACCGAATTTCGAAGAGAAGTCGACGGCGCAGCCGAGGAGTGTCGAAAGCATGGGAGTAGCAGGCTGGGGATTCAACAACTTTCGACAGGAGCTGTCGAGAAGCATGCTCTGACAACTGGATAATTTTTTTCCCGTCGCCGACTTCGACAGCCTGTGGCGAAGAGAAACTGTCGAAAATTGCATTTTCGACAGTGGTGCGGCGAGGCCCTAAAAATAAGAAGCTGCTACCTCAGGGTAACCTCGAGGTATCAAGTCTGCACTTGTTAGCTAGAGGGTGCAGTCTGTGACAGGCAACCTCACTCCGAACCCTGGTTAAACTTTCTGGTCGGACTGGAGTGTAGGCAGAGGAAAAGTAAACGTGCCGTAAGGGGTGTGCCAGGGATTTTTGGGAAAGACGGCGATGGACTGCGAGGATAGAACAGGAATCTCCATGTTGGGGAAGATGGGAAATTTATCCCGTGAAAACGTGCGGGGGGACAAGAAAGAAATTACAAAGAACTCGTCCACTTAGTAGCGCTTACCAATTGATCACAAAGTTGGCGAAAAACCCGGAGCAATCTACATTCTATGAGCAGAGGAAACAACATAGTGGGGAGCACGAAGTTCAACAAGGGCGCACTCGCATGTTGTGCAGAGTTCGGTCTCGGAGGCAGATGGTCTCGTTTGGGCTCTCTGCTCTCAGCTTTTCTCTTCTCTGTTGGCCACGTAAGCAAACCCTGGTGAAGTTACAGATTCTCACACCTGCACTCGAAACAAAGTGTTGGCTGCCATTAACAGGCTATGGTCAGCCACAAAATAACTGTGATCTCGTGATCTTCTTTAAAAAAAAAAAAAAAAAAAAAAAAAAAAGACATGATCCAATCATACTTGCAACCCTACCGCGCGCCCGCACTGTGGTCCGCTGTACGGGGCCCGGTCCGGGACCTTCCCGTCTGGCCTACAGGCCCGTACCCCTACCAGACAGGACCACACCGTGTCCGGTAGGGCCATCTCCCGTCCGGTCCGGTTTTGTGCGCGAACTGTGCGGGGAGGTCCAATACCCCATCCGGTCCTGTAGGGAAACAATTTAATTTTTATTTTATTAATTTCAAAAGCACTGTGAGGCGGGAATGATATGTAACGCACCTGATGGTTGTGGTTGACGCAGAGACACTGCGTCATCATCGAACCTGCAAGCAGCAAAAGAAACCCAACACAAAACAGAGCAACAACAAAGCGTGAACACATGCAAACTTGCAAAGTAGCGCAGAGAAGAAAGCAGAAAAAGTGCAGTGTTCTGAGTGTTGTCCATAAATATTCAAACTTCGACGTTAATGTCATGAGAACGATGCTCATTTGGAGTCTAGAAGTGATACCCTTCAAAAAGCACACCCACCCAATCTACTCCTGTCCTCCATCGACAGCATTGTCACCACCCTCCTCACTCCCCTGATCATCACCCCCTTCGTCTTCACTCCCGACATCACCCTCGCAATGATGTTCGTCACCAGCAGATGAATCAGATGCAGAACGTGAAGATGGTGACGATGATGATGATGACGACGAGGACGACGCTTCACAATCGTCATCATCCAGGATGACCGACATCCTCTTCCCCGCCTGTTTCATTGCCTGTTTTTTTACCACGCGGGAGGATGTCAGGACATCTGGAGCTGCAGCAGCCACTTTCCTGGCAGCTTTCTTAACAGCTCTCGCTGCTGCTCTCTTCGCTGCTTTCTTAGCAGCTTTCTCCACCGCTGCAGCCTTCTTTGCAGCCTTCTTCGCAGCCTTATCCTCTTTTTTCCTCTCGGCCACTTCAACATTGCTGCGGCGTCCTCTCTTCTTTTTCTTGGGCGGTGAAAGATGTTCTTCGGCAGGGCGTTTTTCCACAGCATGGACTTCAGCAGCATGTTGCTGCTGCCGTCCTTTTGCTCTGCTGCTGCCCCACGGGCATCTACCTTCCACCCAATCGCCTGTCTCTCGTGCCCGCAACGCACTCTCGCGCTCCTCAACGTTGTACTCCACTAAGGGGTCTGCTCGCTCGCGCCCCGATCTCCTCCTCAACAAGCGCTCTCTATGCCTCTCTGGCGCAGTGCAGAACTGACCCTCGTTTGTGTAGTTCTGAATATGTGCGATTTCATCCTCTTCATTTATCATGTCGTCAAGTCTGTCATTGCGCAACCACCTTCTTGCCAAAGGCAGATCACCTTCATCGTCCAACTCTGCAATGACAGCGCTATCGTCCTCTGTGCCAGCCATCATATCCCTGGTGCTCTCCTTTACTTTCTGCACCCACTCGTTGTAGTAACGCTCTGCCTCCGCCTTGTTCTCCGCATCTGGTAAGTCCTCCATCCACGGGATGTGGACATCGTCTTGGCCAGCCCCCTTCTCTTGCCTCCACTTCAGGTGGAGATTCCAATTATAGTACACGAGCTTGGCAAGACGACCCAGCAGCAGCTTCGTCCTCCTGCTGAAAATGAGTTTGTGCAAGCTCTAGTTGTGCTCACAAGCGGCAGAGGAGCTTGCCTGTCTGAGCAACTTGATCGCTTGGGGCTGCAGGAGGTTCAGGCGTGACCCGAACGAGTCTCACCACATGGAGGGGTTCCTCAATCGCGCCCCATCCAATGCCTCTCTCGACCCCAATGCGCCCTTCATGCGAACCCAGTCGTCCACTTGCCAGCTGATGTTCTTTAAATCGTCTGGCGTGGCCCATGTGTACAACCATATGTTGAAGTCCGCCCAGATCTCCGTATCGTGGATGGCAGACTGTGCACGGAACTCCGGATCCAAAAATGGTGTTGCACAATGCAGCTCCGATGTCATGAATGCCCATCGATCCATGAGGATCGATTCCACTTCCGCTTTCTCAAAATCCGGAAGGACTTCCAACTTTCTGTTCCCGTCCACTACGGCGTCCATATGATGATAAACCTTGTTGATGGTGGCCCCTGAACCGTCCACCATCTTCAGTACTTTCACGATAGCCTCCGTATCATTGATAGACTTCTCAACATCGTCCCAAAAGTTGTCGTCAAGGATAGTAGTTGTGGCCTCCTCAAAGTTGGACTGCAGATCGGTCGCACCATGCTAGGCACCCAACCCTTCGCACCTGCAGCAAGTTGGAGGGCATTCTTTCGGTCTGAAACAGACTGCAACATGATAATATTTGTGGCGAATCTTGTTACCCCCGGCCTCTTTAACTGTGCCCTACCTGAACGTTCAAGGAAGAATGCACGAACCTTGTCGTGGTTCATGATGAACTTCCCCAACTCGTTCACTCTCTTGATCGTGCTCGAAAACCATCCAATTCGCTTGTCGAAGTCCTCCAATGCAAGGTCGAGGGCATGCGCTATGCAACAAACCCTGAAGATCCAAGGGTACTTCTTTTCGACAAGCTTCCCTGCCGTAACACAAACTCTCGCATTGTCCATGATCACCCCGACCACACTTTTGGGTCCAATGTCCTGGATTGCAGCATCCAGGATGTTGTAGTACGTTATGGAGTCCTTCTCCTTCCCTTCTACACAAACGGACCTCTAAAATACGGTCACTACAGGGGAGGAGACCATCACATTGATGTGCGGTTTCCCTCAACTATCGGACCACCCATCCATTTGCACCGTACACCCTGTTCTGTCCCACTTCTTTGCAATCATCCGCACATCCTCGATGCACCTCTTGTTCTGGCCATCCAGTCGACCGTTCCGCGCGGCCTCCCTGTTGTGCATCCGCCATGAGGGATGGGCATTCCATATAGCGTCAACCATGTCAAGGTAGAATTCATTCTCGACCATATTGAAAGGTTGGTTCGTGCAGGTCAACGAGGTGTCGACCTTCCTTGACGTCATCTCGTTCTTCATGATGATGTTGTCTATCTCCTCCAACACCATTTGTCGCACAAATGAAGTAGATCGTCGCGTGTCTGACGTTGCAACTACTCTTCCATTGTCCCTACCCACATTCTCCACACCCGTCGTCGGACCGCCGGTGCAGCAACCAAACTAGACCCACTAGGAAGACTGTTGTCGCTGTCCGCCATCGCCACGTCAGCCAGAGTCTGACTCAACCCCTACTTCCTTGCTTCTTTTTCGTCGTCTGTGAAAACTTTTATTCTCTGCTCCGACGCACAACTCCCCTTTGAGTAATGATCCTTGATACGGGTTAGGGTGCCCGAAAATTTCAAATCGCAGTACTTGCAGATCCACCATTTGCCACCCTTGGTTAGATTTTTCCTTGCGACCCGTTCTACGTGGCAATGTCGCTTGATCATAGCGGCAATGTACTTGCTACTCGCCATTCTGACCTGCAGACAGGGAGAACCGTCGGACATAAGTCAGAAACTCAGCCTCATCCTGCATCATCTCTGGAGAGCACCCCCTATCCATCCCTTTTTCCCATCTGCTCCCTTACCCCCCCCCCCCCCCCCTCTCTCAACACGGCATTGAAGTAGAAGGAAAAGCAAAAAAAAAAAAAAAAGCGACTTATTGCCTTTTCCGAGTTTTTCCACAAAGCAATTACTGCTTGTTATGATTTGCGGACCATTTGCCACATTTTGCAATGGAGACTGGAATGAGGAGGAAACGGGAGGAGGAAGAGGAGGACGACAATGAGACAAGATGTCGTTCGGGAAATATGTCCCCCACCCCTTTCCCCTCCCAGCCCGATTAACCCCTAACCGCCCATAAAATAAGCCTTGTTACACCCCCTCCTTGACTCCTACCAGGCTACCACGCAAACCCCACGAAAATAGCTTTGCACTGCCTTACGAATGTCAGAAGAAAAAATCAAAGGAAAAAAAAAGTCTTTCACGAATGGAAAGAAGGAGAGATGGGCGAGGAGAGAGGAGGAGATAAAGGAGGAAAGATGGAGAGATGGAGGAGGAAAGATTGAGAGATGGAGAGATGGAGGAGGAGAGGAGGAGAGAAGGAGAGGAGGAGGAGGTGAGGAGGGGGTGAGGAGGAAAGATGGAGACGTAGGTGGAAGAGTACGATATCAGGAGGAGGAGACACCATTGCAGATGAAATCTGTTCGATGTCTCAACGCAAAAAAAAGAAAAAAAAAAGAAAATGTTGAGGCCGTAACGAGGAGGAGAGGAGATGGAGTAGAAAGAGGAGGACATGGAGGAGGAGGGTGACGAGGTGGTCAGGAGGAGGAGGAGAAGGAGGAGGAGGAGGAGGAGGAGGAGGACATGATAAGGAGGAGGAGATACCACGCCAGTTCGGGACTTCAAAGTTCCCGTGAAAAAGAAAAGTGACCAAGCCGTGACAACAAGCATGAGAGGTGGACGAGAAAAGATGGAGTGTTGGAGTGGAGATGGAGGAGGAAAGATGGAGGAGGAGGGATGAAAGAGAGTTGGAGGAGGAATATCAGAGGATAGGAGGACGACAACGAGATAAGGAGGAGATACCATGACAGTCCGAACTTCAAAGTTCCTATTTAAAAAAAAAAAAAAAAAAAAAAAGTGACGAGGCTGTGAGAAGAAGGATAAAAGGTGGAGGAGTGGAGATTGCGAGATGGAGGAGGGGAGATGGAGGAGGAAAGAGGGACAAAGAGGGGAAATAGAGGAGGAGGAGGTGAGGAGGCCGAGAGATGGATGATGAGGAGGAAAGGTGGAGGAGGAGAGATGGAGAGATGGAGGAGGGGAGATGGTGGGGAGATGGAGGAGGAAAGAGAGACGAAGATGGAGGAGGAGGAGGTGAGAAGGACGAGAGATGGATGATGAGGAGGAGGAAGAAAGGTGGAGGAGGAGAGATGGAGAGATGGAGGAGGGGAGATGGAGGAGAAGGAGGTGAGGAGGACGAGAGATAAATGATGAGGAGGAGGAGGAGAGGAGAAGGGTGACGAGATGAGGAGGAGATACCACGACAGATCGAACTTATCGAGCTTCTCCCGTTAAAAAAAAGAAAAGTGACGAGGTTGTGACAAGAAGGATAAGAGGTGGAGGAGAAGAGATGGAGAGATAGAGGAGGGGAGATGGAGGAATGATGGAGGAGGAAAGATTGAGGAGGAGGGATGGAAGAGAGAAGGAGGAGGAATACCAGAGGAGCGGAGGACGACAACGAGATAAGAAGGAGATACCATGATAGTCCAAACTTCAAAGTTCCCGTTTCAAAAAAAAAAAAAAAAGTGACGAGGCTGTGACAAGAAGGATACAAGGTGGATGAGGAGAGATGGAGAGATGGAGGAGGGAAGATGGAGGGGAGATGGGGGAGGAAAGAGGGTCNAGAGATGGAGGAGGGAAGATGGAGGGGAGATGGGGGAGGAAAGAGGGTCGAAGAGGGATGGAAAAGAGATGGAGGAGGAGGTGAGGAGGCCGAAAGATGGATGCCGAGGAGGAGAAGGAGAGGTGAAGGGTGACGAGATGAGGAGGAGATACCACGACGGATTGAACTTCAAAGTTCCCATTAAAAAAAGGAAAAGTGACAAGGCTGTGATAAGAAGGATAAGAGGTGGAGGAGGAGAGATGGAGAGATAGAGGAGGGGAGATGGAGGCGTGATGGCGGAGGGAAGATAGAGGAGGAGGGATGAAAAAGTGATGGAGGAGGAGGAGGTGAGGAGGAGAGATGGACGGCGACGCGGAGGAGGGGAGGAGGATGATGACGAGATAAGGAGGAGATACCATGCCAGTGACGAAGCCATGACAAGGAGGATGAGAGGCAGAGGACGAGAGATGGAGAGGTGGAGGAGGAGAGACGGAGAGATGGAGGTGGAGAGTATGAGGAGGATTGATGGAGGAGGACAGGAGGAGGAGGATTGATGGAGGAGAAGGACGAGGAGGAGGGATGGGGGAGGAGGACGACCGGATATGGAGGAGGACCAATGGACGAGGAATTGAAGAGCACGAGATACCAACGTTAATCGAAGTTTACATAAGAAAAGGTGACGACACCTTGACGAGGAGGGATGGAGGAGGAGGATGAGGAGGAGAAGGACGAGGAGGAGGAGAGGAGGAGGAAGATGACGTGGAGGAGGATAGATGGAGAGATGGAGAGATGGAGAGATGGAGGAGGAAAGATGGAGGGGAGACGCCAAGATGGAGGACGAAAGAGGGCCGAAAAGGGATGGAAACGAGATGGAGGAGGAGGTGAGGAGGCCGAGAGATGGATGACGAGGAGGAGGAGGGGAGGAGAAGGCCCAAATGGGTGACGAGATGAGGAGGAGATGCCACGACAGATTGAACTTCAAAGTTTCCGTTAAAAAAAAGAAAAGTGACAAGGCTGTGACAAGAAGGATAAGAGGTGGAGGAGGAGAGATGGAGAGATAGAGGAGGGGGGATGGAGGCGTGATGGAGGAAGGAAGATGGAGGAGGAGGGATGGAAGAGAGATGGAGGAGGAGGAGGTGAGGAGGAGAGATGGACGGCGACGAGGAGGAGGAGAGGAGGATGACGACGAGATAAGGAGGAGATACCATGCCAGTGACGAAGCCGTGACAAGGAGGATGAGAGGCAGAGGAGGAGAGATGGAGAGGTGGAGGAGGAGAGATGGAGAGATGGAGGGGGAGAGGAGGAGGAGAGGAGGAGGAGGATTGATGGAGGAGGAGAGAAGGAGGGGGATTGATGGAGGAGAAGGAGGCGGGATGGGGGAGGAGGACGACCGGATATGGAGGAGGACCGATGGACGAGGAATTGAAGAGGATGAGATACCAACGCTAATCTAAGTTTACATAAGAAAAGGTGACGACACCTTGACGAGGAGGGATGGAGGAGAAGGAGGAGGAGGAAAAGGACGAGGAGGAGGAGAGGAGGAGGAAGATGACATGGAGGAGGAAGTGACGAGAGAGGAGGAAAAGAGATGCAGGAGGCGATGAGGTGATGAGAGATGGAGGAGGAGGAAGTGACGAGAAGGAGGAGGACATGACGAGGAGCGAGGCAAGTGTCCAACTTCCCGTGCTATGGGAAAAGAAAAGAAGATGACACAGTGACGACGCCGAGGAGAAGAGGAGGAGGAGGAGGAGGAGAAGGAAGATGTGGAGGAGGAGGAGGAGGAGGAGGTGAGTCTGAGGGAGGGCAGCAAGGTTGGTGAAGACTCACCTTGGATGAGGGTCGAAGTCGACGATGGTCGCTCCA